TTCTTTATTTAAATCTTTGACTGTTTCTAATACACTAGAACCAGAAGTTACTACATCTTCAATTATAAGACAAGTTTCACCCACTTTACAATGACCTTCTATCATTTTCTTAGTACCATATGCTTTTGCATCTTTTCTTCGCAATAGCATTGGTTTCTTTACCTTAACACTAAGTAAAGTAGCAATTGGTAGAGCTGTGTAAGGTACTCCACATATGTGATCATATTTTTTATGGTTACTAACAATGTCGTAAAGCAGGACTGTTAATAGTTCCTGAAAAAAACAAGTAGATAATTAATATTTAAATAATGCAAAAATAGCAAATTATATTCCTGAAGTGTATTCACTTTTAGAATTGGATCTGAAATATTAAAATATTGAACATCTGTTTATAACACAAGTATGTTTATACAAGTCAAATAAATTATTAAAATCATATTTCATTTCAATTCTGAATAATAAAAAAATAATTTTATTATTGTCGTTAATTAAATTGATAATATAGCCGGTCCCTTTACACATTATTATTATAAATATTTTGAATACAATAGATACTCTTCAAAACACCACATTACAGCCACAGTACAGTCTCAATAACCTGGGAATAGATATAATATGAAACACAACTAATGTCGAATCTGACGTCGTACAATAAATTCAAGTTAATATAAGACAGTATTAAACCAAAACAAATCTAAAATTGACTTTATAGATATAGCGCCATTGCATAGATGCCGAGCTCAGCTCCGTCGCTCAATTACTACTTCTTTAGTTATATAATTACTATACCATAATTATATATATATATATATATATATATATATATATGTAATAATATTTTTTTTTTTACTCAACTAACACTTACTCTAATTTACCTGAGATTCTTTTTGAATAACATTTCCATAAAGCATCTCTGTAAACGACCGCCTGTGCTTCTGGGCTCTTTGCATTGACTATTCCGCGCCCAACAACCACAATATCTGCACCATTTTCTAAAATTACTTTTTCTGGTGTATTGTATACTTGACCCAGATCATCCTTAGCACTTTCGAGTTGTACGCCAGGAGTTAATTGTAACAGCCCAGGATCTTTAAATGTATCCTTATTTTGGCATACAAAACCAGTAATTATATTTGGATTCTTTGAAGCCATGTTCACAGTTTCTTCTCTGTATTCTGCAGAGATCAAATTTCCCTGTCAAAAAAAATAATTTGTTTACATAACCAGGTTCTAAGTTTAAATTTCGTTTCATCTAAGAGCTAAGATTCTATTTATACCTCACTGCTCATTTCAGCTAGAAGAAATACACCACGGTTTTCTATTCCAGTACATGCACTGCTCAGAGCCTTCAATATACCCTCTCCAGGTAAAGAATGAGATGTCACACAATCTGCCCATTCTGAAATCTTATATAACCCTTTTTGATATTGTAATGATACTGTGTTACCAATATCCGCAAATTTCCTGTCCTCCAGAATCAAAAAATTAAATCTGTCCGCTAATTGTTTAAGTCGAGAAATGAAATCAGAAGTAAAATCTTCTATAATATCAACATGGGTTTTCACTAAGCATATGTATTCTCCTACTTTTTCTAGAAGTTCGAGAATTTTTACAGTTGATGTCAAATCGACAGATAAACATAGGTTTGTTTTTTTAATAGACATAATATTAAAGAGTTGTTTTGCTACTAGATTCTTTGATAACTCTGCTCTCTTCTCGAAAGGTATTCGAATTCTGTCCTCAAATGAATCTGCAAACAATGAGTATTATTAAATTGTTGGAAATGGACATCAACAAAATAACTTATATCAAGGAGTTGATATAATAAATGGTAAATCTTATATAGAAATCAGGTATATGCACTTACCTTTAGTTACTGGTGCTTTAACTTCTGTTAAATATTTGTGAATCTTTATAGACATTTCTTTTGTAATCTTTTTATGTTTTTCGAGAATGTCAATTAACTCAGTCATTGTAAATAGTGAATCAATATATACATTATTGGATTCAAGATTCATTCTGCCACCTTGTTCTCTGTCTAAAATAATTATAGCATTTTTAACTATTAACCCTTCTTTATTTAAATCTTTGACTGTTTCTAATACACTAGAACCAGAAGTTACTACATCTTCAATTATAAGACAAGTTTCACCCACTTTACAATGACCTTCTATCATTTTCTTAGTACCATATGCTTTTGCATCTTTTCTTCGCAATAGCATTGGTTTCTTTACCTTAACACTAAGTATAGTAGCAATTGGTAGAGCTGTGTAAGGTACTCCACATATGTGATCATATTTTTTATGGTTACTAACAATGTCGTAAAGCAGGACTGTTAATAGTTCCTGAAAAAAACAAGTAGATAATTAATATTTAAATAATGCAAAAATAGCAAATTATATTCCTGAAGTGTATTCACTTTTAGAATTGGATCTGAAATATTAAAATATTGAACATCTGTTTATAACACAAGTATGTTTATACAAGTCAAATAAATTATTAAAATCATATTTCATTTCAATTCTGAATAATAAAAAAATAATTTTATTATTGTCGTTAATTAAATTGATAATATAGCCGGTCCCTTTACACATTATTATTATAAATATTTTGAATACAATAGATACTCTTCAAAACACCACATTACAGCCACAGTACAGTCTCAATAACCTGGGAATAGATATAATATGAAACACAACTAATGTCGAATCTGACGTCGTAAATAAATTCAAGTTAATATAAGACAGTATTAAACCAAAACAAATCTAAAATTGACTTTATAGATATAGCGCCATTGCATAGATGCCGAGCTCAGCTCCGTCGCTCAATTACTACTTCTTTAGTTATATAATTACTATACCATAATTATATATATATATATATATATATATATGTAATAATATTTTTTTACTCAACTAACACTTACTCTAATTTACCTGAGATTCTTTTTGAATAACATTTCCATAAAGCATCTCTGTAAACGACCGCCTGTGCTTCTGGGCTCTTTGCATTGACTATTCCGCGCCCAACAACCACAATATCTGCACCATTTTCTAAAATTACTTTTTCTGGTGTATTGTATACTTGACCCAGATCGTCCTTAGCACTTTCGAGTTGTACGCCAGGAGTTAATTGTAACAGCCCAGGATCTTTAAATGTATCCTTATTTTGGCATACAAAACCAGTAATTATATTTGGATTCTTTGAAGCCATGTTCACAGTTTCTTCTCTGTATTCTGCAGAGATCAAATTTCCCTGTCAAAAAAAATAATTTGTTTACATAACCAGGTTCTAAGTTTAAATTTCGTTTCATCTAAGAGCTAAGATTCTATTTATACCTCACTGCTCATTTCAGCTAGAAGAAATACACCACGGTTTTCTATTCCAGTACATGCACTGCTCAGAGCCTTCAATATACCCTCTCCAGGTAAAGAATGAGATGTCACACAATCTGCCCATTCTGAAATCTTATATAACCCTTTTTGATATTGTAATGATACTGTGTTACCAATATCCGCAAATTTCCTGTCCTCCAGAATAAAAAAATTAAATCTGTCCGCTAATTGTTTAAGTCGAGAAATGAAATCAGAAGTAAAATCTTCTATAATATCAACATGGGTTTTCACTAAGCATATGTATTCTCCTACTTTTTCTAGAAGTTCGAGAATTTTTACAGTTGATGTCAAATCGACAGATAAACATAGGTTTGTTTTTTTAATAGACATAATATTAAAGAGTTGTTTTGCTACTAGATTCTTTGATAACTCTGCTCTCTTCTCGAAAGGTATTCGAATTCTGTCCTCAAATGAATCTGCAAACAATGAGTATTATTAAATTGTTGGAAATGGACATCAACAAAATAACTTATATCAAGGAGTTGATATAATAAATGGTAAATCTTATATAGAAATCAGGTATATGCACTTACCTTTAGTTACTGGTGCTTTAACTTCTCTTAAATATTTGTGAATCTTTATAGACATTTCTTTTGTAATCTTTTTATGTTTTTCGAGAATGTCAATTAACTCAGTCATTGTAAATAGTGAATCAATATATACATTATTGGATTCAAGATTCATTCTGCCACCTTGTTCTCTGTCTAAAATAATTATAGCATTTTTAACTATTAACCCTTCTTTATTTAAATCTTTGACTGTTTCTAATACACTAGAACCAGAAGTTACTACATCTTCAATTATAAGACAAGTTTCACCCACTTTACAATGACCTTCTATCATTTTCTTAGTACCATATGCTTTTGCATCTTTTCTTCGCAATAGCATTGGTTTCTTTACCTTAACACTAAGTAAAGTAGCAATTGGTAGAGCTGTGTAAGGTACTCCACATATGTGATCATATTTTTTATGGTTACTAACAATGTCGTAAAGCAGGACTGTTAATAGTTCCTGAAAAAAACAAGTAGATAATTAATATTTAAATAATGCAAAAATAGCAAATTATATTCCTGAAGTGTATTCACTTTTAGAATTGGATCTGAAATATTAAAATATTGAACATCTGTTTATAACACAAGTATGTTTATACAAGTCAAATAAATTATTAAAATCATATTTCATTTCAATTCTGAATAATAAAAAAATAATTTTATTATTGTCGTTAATTAAATTGATAATATAGCCGGTCCCTTTACACATTATTATTATAAATATTTTGAATACAATAGATACTCTTCAAAACACCACATTACAGCCACAGTACAGTCTCAATAACCTGGGAATAGATATAATATGAAACACAACTAATGTCGAATCTGACGTCGTACAATAAATTCAAGTTAATATAAGACAGTATTAAACCAAAACAAATCTAAAATTGACTTTATAGATATAGCGCCATTGCATAGATGCCGAGCTCAGCTCCGTCGCTCAATTACTACTTCTTTAGTTATATAATTACTATACCATAATTATATATATATATATATATATATATATATATATATATATATATGTAATAATATTTTTTTACTCAACTAACACTTACTCTAATTTACCTGAGATTCTTTTTGAATAACATTTCCATAAAGCATCTCTGTAAACGACCGCCTGTGCTTCTGGGCTCTTTGCATTGACTATTCCGCGCCCAACAACCACAATATCTGCACCATTTTCTAAAATTACTTTTTCTGGTGTATTGTATACTTGACCCAGATCATCCTTAGCACTTTCGAGTTGTACGCCAGGAGTTAATTGTAACAGCCCAGGATCTTTAAATGTATCCTTATTTTGGCATACAAAACCAGTAATTATATTTGGATTCTTTGAAGCCATGTTCACACTTTCTTCTCTGTATTCTGCAGAGATCAAATTTCCCTGTCAAAAAAAATAATTTGTTTACATAACCAGGTTCTAAGTTTAAATTTCGTTTCATCTAAGAGCTAAGATTCTATTTATACCTCACTGCTCATTTCAGCTAGAAGAAATACACCACGGTTTTCTATTCCAGTACATGCACTGCTCAGAGCCTTCAATATACCCTCTCCAGGTAAAGAATGAGATGTCACACAATCTGCCCATTCTGAAATCTTATATAACCCTTTTTGATATTGTAATGATACTGTGTTACCAATATCCGCAAATTTCCTGTCCTCCAGAATCAAAAAATTAAATCTGTCCGCTAATTGTTTAAGTCGAGAAATGAAATCAGAAGTAAAATCTTCTATAATATCAACATGGGTTTTCACTAAGCATATGTATTCTCCTACTTTTTCTAGAAGTTCGAGAATTTTTACAGTTGATGTCAAATCGACAGATAAACATAGGTTTGTTTTTTTAATAGACATAATATTAAAGAGTTGTTTTGCTACTAGATTCTTTGATAACTCTGCTCTCTTCTCGAAAGGTATTCGAATTCTGTCCTCAAATGAATCTGCAAACAATGAGTATTATTAAATTGTTGGAAATGGACATCAACAAAATAACTTATATCAAGGAGTTGATATAATAAATGGTAAATCTTATATAGAAATCAGGTATATGCACTTACCTTTAGTTACTGGTGCTTTAACTTCTCTTAAATATTTGTGAATCTTTATAGACATTTCTTTTGTAATCTTTTTATGTTTTTCGAGAATGTCAATTAACTCAGTCATTGTAAATAGTGAATCAATATATACATTATTGGATTCAAGATTCATTCTGCCACCTTGTTCTCTGTCTAAAATAATTATAGCATTTTTAACTATTAACCCTTCTTTATTTAAATCTTTGACTGTTTCTAATACACTAGAACCAGAAGTTACTACATCTTCAATTATAAGACAAGTTTCACCCACTTTACAATGACCTTCTATCATTTTCTTAGTACCATATGCTTTTGCATCTTTTCTTCGCAATAGCATTGGTTTCTTTACCTTAACACTAAGTAAAGTAGCAATTGGTAGAGCTGTGTAAGGTACTCCACATATGTGATCATATTTTTTATGGTTACTAACAATGTCGTAAAGCAGGACTGTTAATAGTTCCTGAAAAAAACAAGTAGATAATTAATATTTAAATAATGCAAAAATAGCAAATTATATTCCTGAAGTGTATTCACTTTTAGAATTGGATCTGAAATATTAAAATATTGAACATCTGTTTATAACACAAGTATGTTTATACAAGTCAAATAAATTATTAAAATCATATTTCATTTCAATTCTGAATAATAAAAAAATAATTTTATTATTGTCGTTAATTAAATTGATAATATAGCCGGTCCCTTTACACATTATTATTATAAATATTTTGAATACAATAGATACTCTTCAAAACACCACATTACAGCCACAGTACAGTCTCAATAACCTGGGAATAGATATAATATGAAACACAACTAATGTCGAATCTGACGTCGTACAATAAATTCAAGTTAATATAAGACAGTATTAAACCAAAACAAATCTAAAATTGACTTTATAGATATAGCGCCATTGCATAGATGCCGAGCTCAGCTCCGTCGCTCAATTACTACTTCTTTAGTTATATAATTACTATACCATAATTATATATATATATATATATATATATATATATATATATATATGTAATAATATTTTTTTACTCAACTAACACTTACTCTAATTTACCTGAGATTCTTTTTGAATAACATTTCCATAAAGCATCTCTGTAAACGACCGCCTGTGCTTCTGGGCTCTTTGCATTGACTATTCCGCGCCCAACAACCACAATATCTGCACCATTTTCTAAAATTACTTTTTCTGGTGTATTGTATACTTGACCCAGATCGTCCTTAGCACTTTCGAGTTGTACGCCAGGAGTTAATTGTAACAGCCCAGGATCTTTAAATGTATCCTTATTTTGGCATACAAAACCAGTAATTATATTTGGATTCTTTGAAGCCATGTTCACAGTTTCTTCTCTGTATTCTGCAGAGATCAAATTTCCCTGTCAAAAAAAATAATTTGTTTACATAACCAGGTTCTAAGTTTAAATTTCGTTTCATCTAAGAGCTAAGATTCTATTTATACCTCACTGCTCATTTCAGCTAGAAGAAATACACCACGGTTTTCTATTCCAGTACATGCACTGCTCAGAGCCTTCAATATACCCTCTCCAGGTAAAGAATGAGATGTCACACAATCTGCCCATTCTGAAATCTTATATAACCCTTTTTGATATTGTAATGATACTGTGTTACCAATATCCGCAAATTTCCTGTCCTCCAGAATAAAAAAATTAAATCTGTCCGCTAATTGTTTAAGTCGAGAAATGAAATCAGAAGTAAAATCTTCTATAATATCAACATGGGTTTTCACTAAGCATATATATTCTCCTACTTTTTCTAGAAGTTCGAGAATTTTTACAGTTGATGTCAAATCGACAGATAAACATAGGTTTGTTTTTTTAATAGACATAATTTTAAAGAGTTGTTTTGCTACTAGATTCTTTGATAACTCTGCTCTCTTCTCGAAAGGTATTCGAATTCTGTCCTCAAATGAATCTGCAAACAATGAGTATTATTAAATTGTTGGAAATGGACATCAACAAAATAACTTATATCAAGGAGTTGATATAATAAATGGTAAATCTTATATAGAAATCAGGTATATGCACTTACCTTTAGTTACTGGTGCTTTAACTTCTGTTAAATATTTGTGAATCTTTATAGACATTTCTTTTGTAATCTTTTTATGTTTTTCGAGAATGTCAATTAACTCAGTCATTGTAAATAGTGAATCAATATACATTATTGGATTCAAGATTCATTCTGCCACCTTGTTCTCTGTCTAAAATAATTATAGCATTTTTAACTATTAACCCTTCTTTATTTAAATCTTTGACTGTTTCTAATACACTAGAACCAGAAGTTACTACATCTTCAATTATAAGACAAGTTTCACCCACTTTACAATGACCTTCTATCATTTTCTTAGTACCATATGCTTTTGCATCTTTTCTTCGCAATAGCATTGGTTTCTTTACCTTAACACTAAGTAAAGTAGCAATTGGTAGAGCTGTGTAAGGTACTCCACATATGTGATCATATTTTTTATGGTTACTAACAATGTCGTAAAGCAGGACTGTTAATAGTTCCTGAAAAAAACAAGTAGATAATTAATATTTAAATAATGCAAAAATAGCAAATTATATTCCTGAAGTGTATTCACTTTTAGAATTGGATCTGAAATATTAAAATATTGAACATCTGTTTATAACACAAGTATGTTTATACAAGTCAAATAAATTATTAAAATCATATTTCATTTCAATTCTGAATAATAAAAAAATAATTTTATTATTGTCGTTAATTAAATTATAATATAGCCGGTCCCTTTACACATTATTATTATAAATATTTTGAATACAATAGATACTCTTCAAAACACCACATTACAGCCACATATACAGTCTCAATAACCTGGGAATAGATATAATATGAAACACAACTAATGTCGAATCTGACGTCGTACAATAAATTCAAGTTAATATAAGACAGTATTAAACCAAAACAAATCTAAAATTGACTTTATAGATATAGCGCCATTGCATAGATGCCGAACTCAGCTCCGTCGCTCAATTACTACTTCTTTAGTTATATAATTACTATACCATATATATATATATATATATATATATATATATATATAATTAATTTTTTACTCAACTAACACTTACTCTAATTTACCTGAGATTCTTTTTGAATAACATTTCCATAAAGCATCTCTGTAAACGACCGCCTGTGCTTCTGGGCTCTTTGCATTGACTATTCCGCGCCCAACAACCACAATATCTGCACCATTTTCTAAAATTACTTTTTCTGGTGTATTGTATACTTGACCCAGATCGTCCTTAGCACTTTCGAGTTGTACGCCAGGAGTTAATTGTAACAGCCCAGGATCTTTAAATGTATCCTTATTTTGGCATACAAAACCAGTAATTATATTTGGATTCTTTGAAGCCATGTTCAGTTTCTTCTCTGTATTCTGCAGAAATCAAATTTCCCTGTCAAAAAAATAATTTGTTTACATAACCAGGTTCTAAGTTTAAATTTCGTTTCATCTAAGAGCTAAGATTCTATTTATACCTCACTGCTCAATTCAGCTAGAAGAAATACACCACGGTTTTCTATTCCAGTACATGCACTGCTCAGAGCCTTCAATATACCCTCTCCAGGTAAAGAATGAGATGTCACACAATCTGCCCATTCTGAAATCTTATATAACCCTTTTTGATATTGTAATGATACTGTGTTACCAATATCCGCAAATTTCCTGTCCTCCAGAATCAAAAAATTAAATCTGTCCGCTAATTGTTTAAGTCGAGAAATGAAATCAGAAGTAAAATCTTCTATAATATCAACATGGGTTTTCACTAAGCATATGTATTCTCCTACTTTTTCTAGAAGTTCGAGAATTTTTACAGATGATGTCAAATCGACAGATAAACATAGGTTTGTTTTTTTAATAGACATAATGTTAAAGAGTTGTTTTGCTACTAGATTCTTTGATAACTCTGCTCTCTTCTCGAAAGGTATTCGAATTCTGTCCTCAAATGAATCTGCAAACAATGAGTATTATTAAATTGTTGGAAATGGTCATCAATAAAATAACTTATATCAAGGAGTTGATATAATAAATGTTAAATCTTATATAGAAATCAGATATACGCACTTACCTTTAGTTACTGGTGCTTTAACTTCTCTTAGATATTTGTGAAGCTTTATAGACATTTCTTTTGTAATCTTTTTATGTTTTTCGAGAATGTCAATTAACTCAGTCATTGTAAATAGTGAATCAATATATACATTATTGGATTCAAGATTCATTCTGCCACCTTGTTCTCTGTCTAAAATAATTATAGCATTTTTAACTATTAACCCTTCTTTATTTAAATCTTTGACTGTTTCTAATACACTAGAACCAGAAGTTACTACATCTTCAATTATAAGACAAGTTTCACCCACTTTACAATGACCTTCTATCATTTTCTTAGTACCATATGCTTTTGCATCTTTTCTTCGCAATAGCATTGGTTTCTTTACCTTAACACTTAGTAAAGTAGCAATTGGTAGAGCTGTGTAAGGTACTCCACATATGTGATCATATTTTTTATGGTTACTAACAATGTCGTAAAGCAGGACTGTTAATAGTTCCTGAAAAAAACAAGTAGATAATTAATATTTAAATAATGCAAAAATAGCAAATTATATTCCTGAAGTGTATTCACTTTTAGAATTGGATCTGAAATATTAAAATATTGAACATCTGTTTATAACACAAGTATGTTTATACAAGTCAAATAAATTATTAAAATCATATTTCATTTCAATTCTGAATAATAAAAAAATAATTTTATTATTGTCGTTAATTAAATTGATAATATAGCCGGTCCCTTTACACATTATTATTATAAATATTTTGAATACAATAGATACTCTTCAAAACACCACATTACAGCCACAGTACAGTCTCAATAACCTGGGAATACATATAATATGAAACACAACTAATGTCGAATCTGACGTCGTACAATAAATTCAAGTTAATATAAGACAGTATTAAACCAAAACAAATCTAAAATTGACTTTATAGATATAGCGCCATTGCATAGATGCCGAGCTCAGCTCCGTCGCTCAATTACTACTTCTTTAGTTATATAATTACTATACCATAATTATATATATATATGTAATATAATATTTTTTTTTACTCAACTAACACTTACTCTAATTTACCTGATATTCTTTTTGAATAACATTTCCATAAAGCATCTCTGTAAACGACCGCCTGTGCTTCTGGGCTCTTTGCATTGACTATTCCGCGCCCAACAACCACAATATCTGCACCATTTTCTAAAATTACTTTTTCTGGTGTATTGTATACTTGACCCAGATCGTCCTTAGCACTTTCGAGTTGTACGCCAGGAGTTAATTGTAACAGCCCAGGATCTTTAAATGTATCCTTATTTTGGCATACAAAACCAGTAATTATATTTGGATTCTTTGAAGCCATGTTCACACTTTCTTCTCTGTATTCTGCAGAGATCAAATTTCCCTGTCAAAAAAAATAATTTGTTTACATAACCAGGTTCTAAGTTTAAATTTCGTTTCATCTAAGAGCTAAGATTCTATTTATACCTCACTGCTCATTTCAGCTAGAAGAAATACACCACGGTTTTCTATTCCAGTACATGCACTGCTCAGAGCCTTCAATATACCCTCTCCAGGTAAAGAATGAGATGTCACACAATCTGCCCATTCTGAAATCTTATATAACCCTTTTTGATATTGTAATGATACTGTGTTACCAATATCCGCAAATTTCCTGTCCTCCAGAATCAAAAAATTAAATCTGTCCGCTAATTGTTTAAGTCGAGAAATGAAATCAGAAGTAAAATCTTCTATAATATCAACATGGGTTTTCACTAAGCATATGTATTCTCCTACTTTTTCAAGAAGTTCGAGAATTTTTACAGTTGATGTCAAATCGACAGATAAACATAGGTTTGTTTTTTTAATAGACATAATGTTAAAGAGTTGTTTTGCTACTAGATTCTTTGATAACTCTGCTCTCTTCTCGAAAGGTATTCGAATTCTGTCCTCAAATGAATCTGCAAACAATGAGTATTATTAAATTGTTGGAAATGGACATCAACAAAATAACTTATATCAAGGAGTTGATATAATAAATGGTAAATCTTATATAGAAATCAGATATATGCACTTACCTTTAGTTACTGGTGCTTTAACTTCTCTTAAATATTTGTGAATCTTTATAGACATTTCTTTTGTAATCTTTTTATGTTTTTCGAGAATGTCAATTAACTCAGTCATTGTAAATAGTGAATCAATATATACATTATTGGATTCAAGATTCATTCTGCCACCTTGTTCTCTGTCTAAAATAATTATAGCATTTTTAACTATTAACCCTTCTTTATTTAAATCTTTGACTGTTTCTAATACACTAGAACCAGAAGTTACTACATCTTCAATTATAAGACAAGTTTCACCCACTTTATAATGACCTTCTATCATTTTCTTAGTACCATATGCTTTTGCCTCTTTTCTTCGCAATAGCATTGGTTTCTTTACCTTAACACTAAGTAAAGTAGCAATTGGTAGAGCTGTGTAAGGGACTCCACATATGTGATCATATTTTTTATGGTTACTAACAATGTCGTAAAGCAGGACTGTTAATAGTTCCTGAAAAAAACAAGTAGATAATTAATATTTAAATAATGCAAAAATAGCAAATTATATTCCTGAAGTGTATTCACTTTTAGAATTGGATCTGAAATATTAAAATATTGAACATCTGTTTATAACACAAGTATGTTTATACAAGTCAAATAAATTATTAAAATCATATTTCATTTCAATTCTGAATAATAAAAAAATAATTTTATTATTGTCGTTAATTAAATTGATAATATAGCCGGTCCCTTTACACATTATTATTATAAATATTTTGAATACAATAGATACTCTATAAAACACCACATGACAGCCACAGTACCAGTCTCAATAACCTGGGAATAGATATAATATGAAACACAACTAATGTCGAATCTGACGTCGTACAATAAATTCAAGTTAATATAAGACAGTATTAGATACAACTTATTAGTAAGAATATTAATTTTTCACATACCATTACGTCCGGATAACTAACTATAACCCTCAAATCAAAGTAAACAGGTGTCATAGTTCCACTCTTCGTCTTAAACTCCCCGAATTTAACTGCATCTATATCAAACAACTTTATTGCTAGTTCTTCTAGTGTATTATAAGCCATTGTTATTTGATTAAACAAAATTACGATAGTAAACAACAATTATATTATACCACGTGTGTATGTGCGTTAGCGCAGTACTAAGATGCTAAGAATGTTCCATTCAGTTCCATTCATTCAGGGGAGGGGAAGAACAACTCGTAACAAAATATAGGACATCTATGATTTTCGGGACGAACTATTTAACAGTCAGCATCTATCTTTTGTTTCTGTCCATCGGTATTACCACAGATAACTAATATATTACTCATGTATACAAGGTTACTGGTGACTCGACGTTTTCCCATCAGGACTAGGTAGAGGAGCTCAGATGCAATTATTTTGACCCTCTATATGTTTCGAGTTATTCTAAATTATGTGATTTTTAAAAAAATATCCAATTCAGCGTCTTTACAACTTATTAAAAAAAATGGCTTGTTGAATGTATTTCAACCTAATTTTTATGTGTAGAGGACTTGGTAACAAAAACATAATAACTGACAAAATACCCATGAATGCTTAATAAGTATAATAATAGCTAGGACCACAAACGATTTTTTTTTATAACGTTTGTTGAGTTTAAGTGCCATGTAGCTTAAAAAAAACATGACTCTAATCGTACAAATTACTAATAAAACTTTCTCATCAAATAAGCTGTCTAAAATAAGCTACGTAATAACATTACACTTGAAAACCCATGATTACTAATTCCGAGTATGTCCAAAATTTAACCCGTTCTTTTCCGTAAAATTGATACAGAATACTAAATTTTGTGAAAAAAAAAAACAAGTGATACACGATTTTTTTACAACCAGCCAGTATGTCCTCTAGATCGAAAAATGTTTACATAGGTATAGGTAATACCTTATTACTTGGTAAGAAATAATAATTGATTAATAATTTGAAATAGTATGTCTAGTAGTAGTATGTATGTATGCGTGTTGTTTAATTAAACAGTTAATTACGATAGTAAACAATAATTGCCTTGTAACACGTGTAGAACACAACACATGTAGGTAAATGTAAACTAGCGTCTAGCGTCGCGTCGTAAGAAGCACATATAACATTCTTCTTTGGTTCCATTCATCCAGGGGACGGGATGTTTTGTTACAAGAACAACTATATATACATCATATATCATTATTAATTATAGATAGATATATATGATTCGAATGTACCTACCCACCTAACCCACAGTAGACAATTATATCATTCTCATTCTCTCCTACATTATCGTTTAATTTTCCCTTATTTCTCCTACGTAGGTACGTAAATTTCATTTTGTTCCCCTATAAAGGCTATCGTTGTACCCATGGTTCTTATTTCATTGCAGTAATGTGAAATTCTCATTCTAATTGTAGAACGATACTTTATTTTATAAATATATATATATCATCAGTAGGTATACGAGAGGAAGTAAACACACAAATTTACAAATTACAACACAGATTTCGCCTTGTTAAAGTTCGACGATTTTATTACATGTAATGATAAAATATAGACAATAAAACGATATTTTTCTTTGTATTCCATTTATTTCACATCTATAGTATAATAGTAGTAGTAGTATATAGATCGGTACTTAAATAAAATGCCAATAAATGCTCTTGCCTTCTTCTGTAGGTTTATTGTATACATGATGTATTTAATTGACCAACAAGTCTATCTAGGAATGTGTAAATAGATGCATATCGGCTTTGTGGGTGACTAAGTAAGAATACAATGTAATAAATATATAACCCACCTTTAGCTTCTGTCCTAACACAAGTCATAACAACTAGTAAATCAAAGTAGAATTTCAACAGTGCAAGAATAGGGAAGAATAGAATAATTTTAATTTTAAGCCCGTATGTAATAAATTTATTATAATACGTTATAATACTATGACGAGACGTCTAAAAATTTTTTAACTTATATATAATAACTTCCGCTTAGTATATATTTTGCGAAATTTATGCTAATTTTGTATGAAATTCACATATTCTACATAAATAAATTTCATATTTTCATATTGTTCCCCCGTAGAGACTCTGTGGTTGTACCCATGGTGCTGTCATTTCAGTCATTCAATTCACCACTCATCAGTTCACTACGCACACGTTCACTTAACTCACTCTTACTCAGTCATTTATACAACCCTGTTTTGAATGGTTTAGTGATACGTGTTTTATGTTTTTATTGCTTTGTGTGTGTTTAATATTTTATTCGCTAATTGTAGATTAAATAATTGTGATAAATTAGCATGTTTATGTAAGTATTTGTTGTTATTGAAATATTACTTTTGATTAATGAATAGGTAATACTTTTTTTAAAATTTTTGGCGCGTACCAATCAGTTATCAAGTAAAATGTTATTTAAACTTTCTAAATTTACCACTATTTGTAAAATTAGGAAAATATAATAATCTATAAATGATATATACTTAGATTTAGACATCAGGTAGTGAATTTTGAATCGATGTTGAGGTAAGTTAACACCACCCCTCCGGTTAACGGTCCGAAGTGGGGTCCCCTCCCCTGCTGTAGGGGAAGTTAGGGTAGACAAAGGGTAGTCACCCCTATACAGAGGGGAGCACGATCCTTGGGCGAAATCCATGGGTAGGGGTGGGGATCACTATTTCAAGTTTGGGTTTTTTTTCGCCCCCTATTCACTTGTAAGGCGACGGCGGAAGCAACTAAGCACCACTTTTAAACATATTTTGTTATAGTTACATGTTTTAAATGTCCATTCAAGTTATATTTACATCATTTTAAGTATGTGTGATATTTTTTAGGTGTGTACATTCAAGAAGTATTAATTAAGAATGGAAGAAGATTTTGAAGGTAAACTTTTAGATGTAAAAGTATTATTACCATACTTACTAGTTTTAAATTACATATATATATGTATATATATATCTTACATTAATATACCTATTGTAATATTAAGGCCATCCCTTCCATAGAAAAATGATCTAATATTTAAAACAAACATGTAAAGTAATAATTTCCTGATATTTTCTAAAACTTCTCATGAGCACTCACACTCACACTTCTCATCACTTTTAAGCAGAATTTATATATTTAAGCAGATGTGTATAAGTATAAATGTTTGCACCATATTCTTTATGGTGGAATAAAAATTGACTATTCAAAAGCTTGTATTGTGTTTATTTAAATAAAGATTATTTCTGTTTGATGTTGTCACTCAAATAAATAATATATTTGTTATTTAATTCATCTAGGTACTGATATTAATGTTATACCAATAAAGTTTTAAAATGTATTTTGTAGCTTAGATAAAGTTTAGATAAAAAATTGTTACTATTCTGGACTTTCAAATGAGCCCAAATATTTGATGAGGTACTATTATTATCTTTCTTTTGTTTTCTTGTTATAATTTTACCAAATGGTATTTCAATAACATATGTATATTTCAGATTCTGTACTACAAGCTATCAAAAGCAGTTACCCGTCTAAGAATAAACTGGCTATTATACTAACTGATCAGGATGGTGTGACACAGTACTGCTGTGTAGCATGCCCCAGAAAATATGTAGAAAAAGAAAAGCTTGAGTTACACTTATGTGTACATACCAAGCAATACAAACATATTTGTGGTATCTGTGGAACGGGGTGAGTTAAAATCGAAATGCCATCACATTTCACCACTGGGAATACTCAATTTAGTTCCCCGCACTGTTGTGAACTTCCATAAACCTTTTATTCACCCCTAAATGGAATCAGAGAAAGGTGGACTGATCTACTTCTAGGCATATAATTTTTCCTGCATATTTTAATGTTTTCCTTTTAACAATACTTTCCATTTTATCAAACTAAATAACAATGAACTAAAGACAAAGATCTTGTAACCGTTGAAATACACATGCCTTTATTTAGTATAATGATACTTTATATATTTAAAGACAGCCATTACTTACTTTAGGATAAAGATTTGCATGAGTTTTGGAGCTTCTTGAACCAAACAGAGTAATTATATTTTAGAATTCTCAAGTCATAAGTAAGATTATACCTATTTTATCAAATATCAAATTTAAGGTACATGGGAAGATATATGTGTATTTGATGTAGGTGCTGAAGTATAATATTTTTGTTTTCAGTGCATAGGATGTATATCTGTAATGAGTTTAGTAGTGTTTTCATATTTAAATAATGCTATTATGTTTTTTTTATTGTCAATTAAAACTCTTTGTTTTCATAATATAAGGTTTTTATTTATCCGATCTACATACTATAATGATGGTATTTCATTTCATATTGTGTTTTTTTTCTTGCCAGTTCTTCTGAATTGAATCTATAGTCTTTACTAGATTGTAGGGAAAATAATATGAATACAAAAACATAACTTTCATAAACAAATAAAATGTACTACATGCATAAATGTTTTTTTACTTTGAAATAAAATGTTATAAATATATAATTTCTATTATGTAGTTTAAAACGTAAAGAACATTTAGAGAGACATACACAAGAGCACCAGGAGGTGAGGCCACATGTGTGTCCTCATTGTGGGAAGGCATTCAAACGGAAGGAGCACCTGAATATCCATAAGGCCATACACAGCGGAGACAAGAATATGGCATGCACAATATGTGGCAGATGTAAGTAGTATGGATACACCAACACCAATACTAATATTATGAATACAAATTGTTTGTTACCTTTTCATAATTAAATAGCTGAATGAACATGTTGAAATTTGAAGTGAAAAAATATTTCAGGACTAAAAATAATCTAAATGTGCGTATTTGCCAGTTCTTTTTATATATTTGACATTATAATGTATTAAAATCAAAGACTGTTGCCTGCTGACATGTATGAATATATTTAAATTGGTTTATAACGTTTTTTAAATATTTACAAAAAACATTTTAAACAAACCTTAATAATTCACACAGCTCTGCTAGAAACCATCTGCTAATCAGAGGTTGTGTTATACTATTATGTTTTGTTATACTATATTATGTGGATACTAAAAATACTTAAATACATTCATAATATACATTAAATCACGCAAACAAATATAAAAAGTTATATTCATAAATTTAAATGTTTATACCATGCTTGGAATCGAACTCGTGACCAGTAAGGCGTTCTACTAAACCGCTAGACCTCAGAAGGCATTAGAAGAAAGGCCTGAGTGTATCTTATAGAAATTAGATGTGATAATATTTTATCAAGAGTACTGATAAGGGATAACTTTTATCTCAAAACAATATAAAGCGGGTAATAGCTAGTGTCCTATGAACTATTTTGACTTTATACAAATTTTTATAATGGTTCGGTTGACTGAATAATCGGTTTTGTTGCAGCTTTTTATCGCAAGGACCACCTACAAAAACATCTACAAACACACAGCAAGACTTTCATGGAACAGAATTTGCAATATACCAATGATGATGGTGATGTACTAATGGATATCAAGCAAGAGATCACCGATGACTACATGACGCCGTTAATCGATATCAATGATCAAGTGGAATATGAGGAGGTACTGTTTCTTTTGTTACTTTAAATAATTAGCCTTACTGAACAATGTTTTTTTAAACTACAATGGTGGTAATCAATGTTAATCGTACATGTTATGAAATAGGACACATAGTTAAAAGTAGAAATATATCCTTTTTTTATCTCATAAAATAAATATTGTGACAGTAGACGTTTATATATACTTATATGGTGTTACAAGTGTGAAAATAAATCATGACAAAATGACTATGGATTTGTATAAAGATTCATCAAAAAGAATTCAGTTATGCGCGATAATGTCGGGTGAAGTAACAATTTAACGAAGATAGACTTATAATAAAAAGTAGATTTGGTTTGTAAGTTGTGTTTCGGGTGAGGGGTCGGGTTGAGGCAGTAAAATTAGGATATTAATTAATTGGTTCTCCGGAATGGTAAAGTATAAGTGCGCGTGACGTAATCACGTGAGGTCCATTCAGGGTGGATTTAAGGACATATTATGTTTCGCACTATTATAAGTAAAATACTCTCGTTCTATTAAAAAAAATTACGTATTATGTAACAAAAATTTTGTTTATTGTAACCTTCTACACATTTACCTTTTAATTTCGCTATCTGTTGGTGTTGTTTTTAAATCTTACTCTTTTTGTATTAGTCGAAAGAGAAATTTAATTGCGTCAATTTTTTTTCCATAGACTACAGTTCATACCCTTTTTTCTTTCATTTGCTCCCCGAAAAGTATTGTATTAAGTGTGTATGGCAGTGTAGGTTCTCTTCTTTTCCCTTATATATTATTAATAATTTCGTCTATTTAAAATGTTTAGTTCCAAAAATAAAAAAGGTTATAACTGAAGTTATTCAGTTATCTCACTAGAGATAATAATGTATACTCATAACGTTTATAACGACTGGCTGTACCTATACATATAGGTAGCTACTACATTTATAGGTCACTTCAATGTATATTTTCCATTTTACTGTATTATTATTACTTTTTTGATTGTTCACTACCGACCCGTCCCGACTTCGCAAGGATGTATCTTTACAATCTTTTAGTTTCTCGGCTTGTTCTATACTATAACACGCATGCATTATACATATAAACCTTCCTCTTGAATCACTCTAACTAATAAAAAAAACACTTTCAATCCGTTGCGTAGAATTAATGATTTAAGCATTCATAGGGACGGACAGACAGCGATAGCGACTTTGTTTTATACTATTTAATGAAGATGACGGATTAGTGATCCCGCTTTGCGCTAATGACACACGTCGGTGGGGTGCCAGGAGGCAGAAATCAGGTCAGTTAGCCCGCCGTAGCAATGGCGCTAATAGTTCCCAATACTAACAATCCCCACCCCCTTCAAGCTGCGGCATTGCCCACCCTTGCCCTCTCTCGTGTTCTCGTGGGAATTTCGCATATCCTTTCTATGCCTACGTAATAATAGTAACCTAGGTATATTTGTAAATAAATTTTCTAGAACTAATATTTTAGGTTGTGTTTATTATACACACGCTGATAGAAATGTTTAACTAACTTTGTTGGGTTACTGGGTTAAAAAACCATAGTGCAATAAACAAAAATATTTCATATTTTTTACAATATTTTGGTAATAGCTAATTTTTAGTTACTAGTACAACTAGATTAGTACTAGTCTATTACTGTTTTTTAGTAAAATCTAATCAATATTTCCGTGTTTATTACTTTTTGGTAGGCACTTTTTTAGTGCATTTAAAAGAATACTCATAATTTTTTTTTTTCTGTTATTTATATATTAGCACACAAACCAGATTACAATAAGAACAAGAATTTTATTAGGAGAGTTTGGTACAAAACTTGAATGTAATCCAAAAGTTATTACAACTGTACGATAGTTCTGCCCTTAATGCTGTTTTGTCTAAAAAATCCTGTATTGATTGTTCTAACAAAGTACAGTTACAGTACAAAGTCTGTGTATGTACCTCAGTCTCACATATTTCAACCGCCAATAGCTTGCTTTGTAAGCCGGTCATAGGGTGAGAATAGGCAGTGATATTAAGGACACATTACAGGACAACTTATTACTCCGGATGGCAACGCAAGATTAGTACCTATCACAAGACACATTATAACATGATGATCAGGTGGCCCGTCCAATGTAATTCCAAATACATAAGAACTTACCATCGACCGCTCGACTTAAATTAATTCTCTTTGGATATGCATTTGCTGGTGATTAAGCCGTTAGGTAACGGTTTAATCGGTATGCAGGAAAGGGTAATATAAAACTACGTGGGGGACATTACATACGAGGGAATACTCCAGAATGGAGGGGATATTGGAATCACTATGGTAGCTCGGGGAGCCGGTTTGAGTGTCTTTATTTTAGAAACCTGTATAAAAAAATTGAATACATTTAACTTATCATTTACTCGTAATTCGTCTTGAATGCGAGATGGTCGCAGATTCGTTTCCTTGCAGGATGCAAACATTTGTATGATTACGATTGTTTGTATCTCTGGATATTTTCTATGTATACTATGTATGTGTTTACAACTATTTAAACTTCGACAACCTCGGTAGTCTAGCGGTCTAGCACACCGCTTTACCTCCGATGGCCGCGGATTCGATTCCTCGCACGGCACAAACACTTGTATTCATGAGTATGATTGTTTGTATCGGTCTATGTGTTTTCTATGTATAATATGTATGTATTTACGGAAAAAAAATCTATGTACTTGTATCAGTTATGTAGTACCCGTAACACAAGCTTTAGATAGCTTAACCTGGGACTGGATGGCGCTGTGTGAATTGTCCTGAGAATATTATTATTATTATTATTTAAGTATTTCTATCAGTTATCTAGTACCCATAACACAAGCTCTGCTAATCTTGGGACTAGATGGCGCTATTTGAATTGTTCTGGGTTATTGTTATTATACTTAAATCACATGGACGGTATTTCCCAAGGTATATTACCTAGTTTAAAACTCTATACCACAATTCATGAGTCGTACCTTGGAATGTATGAAATAATTTCCTTGTACTTCTAAATGAAATGGTATGGAAAAGTGACGTAAAAGTGCAACAGTTTTACCTGTATGACTAACGTTGGATTTTTTGTATATTTGTTTACACGACACGCGGTTTTTTATGGATGCTAATGGACTGATACACCCGTATTCGCTAACGGTATACGCTGGCGGGGCACCAGTGGAGGATGATAAGATGTGTATGAGGTCAGGTCAGTTAGCCTATCGTGGTAAATTTACTAGGAATTTAGCACGATGGTTTCCATGGGGAACCACGTGGATGTCAACCTGACATAGCACAATTCAATTGTAGTGGCTAGCAATGTAGTTCTTAATCCACATTACTAACAATCCCCTTCCCGCCCCCTAATGTATACGAGTACCGATAAGGCCAGAGTGAAGTCAGGTCAGTCCCATCATCCCGCCAAATTTACCAGGAATTTAGCACGATTGTTTCCAGGGAGGACCGTATGAACGTCAATTTGACATGGTCCAATGGTAGCAATGAACACAAATAGCAATCCACATTACTAAAAATCGCCTACTCCCTCTTCCCCCCCTCCCCCTTCCCTCCCCCCTCTCCCTGTATCAGTGATTGTACCGTGCGAGGCCGGGTTGTTTATTGTATTTTTACGGACATGGTATTCCTTATTTATAAAGTAACGTTTGTTTCAGGCTGGAGATTCGTTTAATTTTAACGAATCTGTAGACTCTACGGAATTGTATAAACATACGAATAGTAAAAAATTAGATGACGACAGACCGTTTGGTTGCCATTTGTGCAACAAGACTTACAAGAGGAAAGACCATTTAAAACTGCACCTTGCGACCCATAACAGGAAGGAGCATCCTTGCACCGAGTGCGGGAAAGGTGAGTGATGATTTCAAGTTACATAAATAATTATATGAATGAAAATAATAGTATTTTACGACAATTCACACTGCGCAATATAGTCTCACGCTAAGCTGAGCTTGTATTAGGGGTACTACACAACTGATATGAATATTTACATATATATTGTTGCGGAAGTACTGGCCATATAGTTTGATACTTCTTATTTACATTGTATTTTCTATTAAGAATTGTATTTTATATTTTTGTATACCGAACGATTTAGTCTAATAAAGATTTTTGATAGACATTTACAATATATGTATTATAAATAGATATATTATATGTATAGAAAACACCCAGACTGGTATAAAAAAACATACTAATGAATACAAGTTTGTACCATGCGAGAAAACGTACCCGCGACCATCGGAAGTTTCTTTTTTTTTCGGACTACTCTAATGCTATTGGCCGCAGCTGGCCTTTACAGCTTCACCGGTCGATAGGGGGCGAGTGCAGATGGCACTACAAACCCGCGGAAGGACTTATGGAGCGGCTGAAGGCCAATCCCGCGTGTCGGATACGACACCATCGGAAGTAAGGCCGTATGCTAAACCGCTACACCATGCGGCCGTATAATTTAAAAATAGGAAAATCCATACTAATATAACAAAATGTGATGGCGTTTATGTCTGCATGTTTGTTAATGTTTACGACTAATCCGTTGTATAAATCTTATATATTATTATAAGAGACATGAAGATATTTCTGAAGATGTATTAATTAGCATAGGACAATTTAATATGACCAGTAACGTGTAAAATTATAGCATTATTGCTCCTGACAGAAATTAATATGCATATTGTATCACGTGATAGAATATAGGCTTTTTTCCTAATCAGAGGAGGTCACAGTAGTAGTAGTAGAGTAACACCTAGTCGACTATAAAAAGTTATAAAGTCTTTTTCTCGAAAATATCATTATTGGTATATTTTTTTATTTGTATATTATTTAATTATTTAATAATACAGTTTATTATTAATCGCGCGTAATAATAATTAAATAATGTTTTATTTCGGTTTCATTTTTATATCGTGCGTAATAATATTTAAAACAACAAACAAAATTTGTATACCAATACATGAATACGTCAAGCAAATACTTTGTACCCCTTTACAAAAATTGCACGGGCGGAGTAGTATGAAATTTTGCACATTTACAGTCTATTAGCTGTTTTAGCCGCGTTAAATAACAGTATAAAATATAGCCTATATGTTATTCTGATGTATAAGCTATATTACTATAAGTTTTCACCAAAATCCGTTCAGTAGTTTTGTTGTTCAGTTGAAAGAGTAACAACCATCCATACTTACAAACTTTCGCATTTATAATATTATTAAGATTAAGATATAAAGTAGAAGTGCGAATGCTATGTTTTTATTTTGAATAATAAATACGATAAATAAATAAAAAAAAATATTACACACACTACCATGTATTTGACACACACATGAATAGAAATATAGTCTGTGACAATAGACCTTAATAATGTTTAATTATGGTCGAATTTAGACCATTGAGCGACAAATAGTTATGTAAGTCAAAAACGGCCACTCTTCACTGAATGCGTGTCTGAATACAAATTGCCAGTTTTTTTTCAAGTCATAAATGAATTTGTACCAATATTTAAAACACCTTACAAACAAAATCCATAACATACATGATGTATGAAATTTAAAATCTATACTTCCATCCCATAGTATAAGTTTGTCGGTTTTTAACCGTTTCACAAAATATGATGTTAATCTTTTTCTTCTTTACATAATAAAAATGAAGTTATTTCCGCTGTCTGTTAGCTTAGATCTTTTAAGTAGTTTAACGGATTTTAATGCAGTTTTTAGCAATAGATAGAGTGATTCAAGAGAAAGGTACACCCTTGCAAAGCCGGGGTAGGTAGCTAGTAGGGCTGAGAATAGGTTGTCTAAGTGAATGAACCGACCCACCCACACCAAATTGTTTTTTTTATTTTGTGTCAATTTTTTCTTTTTTTATGATTCGGCATTAAATAAAAATATTACCACCCTTTTACCATGAACCCTTATTTTTTAATGGCGATATTAATTTATATGGCAAAACAACGTTTGCCGGGACAGCTAGTATACATATAATATATATGTATAGGTATAAAATAGGTTGTATATCAAGGACGGAATAAAAGTTTCACCTTTTTTTTCCGGAATATTAATATGGTATATTAAATCAAGGTGTAATAATATATAAATAATTGGACAATTGACACAGCGCCACTCATGAATACAAATGTTTGCACCGTGCGAGGAATCGAACCCTCGACCATCAGAAGTAAGCGGTGTACTGAACCGCTAGACCACCAAGGCCGTCATTATATTGTTTCTCCTTATTTCATACATGACGTTAGGCCATAGGGTGCTTTTTTCATTGGTATTTTTTTCAAGTTACTTATTCATTCCGGAAGAATATATATTTTTTAATAATAGAGATGTAAATACCATTATTTGCCATTAAATTACTCGTGTAAAGGACTCGTTTAATAAAATTAATAATGTATGTTAAATAAGAAAGTTTAGAAATAACTAAAGGATTTTCTATTCTATTCCCATATCGCCCATGGTCAGAAGGTTTGTACTACAGTACAAAAGTCAAGATAAATAATGATTGCTCCGGTATGTGGCCAAGAGACTCTTCCGATATCCCCCTTGCGTATGACACATGGGTCCATTATAGAATTTATAACTGGTAGGTATAGATAGTGACTGTTCAGGGGGGAATGAGGTTGCCGACCGTTGTGACGGTGCGGCGGCGCCCGTTTGTAAGCGACGGCGAATCACGAGAACGTATATATACTAATAATCCGCCTCGGCTCCGCACGGCGTAATTATTGTAAGAATTTCTTAGTTCTTCAAAAGTAAATATAGTTTTCTGTCCTTATAGAAAACAAAGAAAATTTAAAATATATAACTGTGAAAGAATCTTTAAAGTGGGTTAAGAAGACTACAGTAAAATTAACGTTGTATAAAAAAATATTAATGTTAGATGTCTCTCCTACTATACCGTAGTACTGACATAACTATTTATTTATTTATGTCAACTTTGCTATTTGGCAGATTGTATTCGCACAAAATTCTTAAAAATGTAATTCTAAAAAACATTTATTTTAAAGAGCAACACGCAAGTTTCTTTCTCATTCTTGTGATGCATTCAAGTGGTAGAATAAAACATTATATGACTATTCAACAGTGCTTAAATTATTATTTGAATATATTCCATTTCACGCAATAAATATGGAACTAATACGGGAATAATGCTATTAATTAATGCATCACAATCAATTGTAGTAATGTAATTGTACTCTAATACTCGTTGTTACTTCAGAATTTCCGTTAGTACATATTATAAGATATGAAAATCAGAGTTACTTCCAATTTGTTTTCAAATATTTCGAAGTAAGAAAATTATCGCTGTAGATTTTATTATTTATTAGATTTTTCAATATTAAAACGTATTAATCATTGTCAGGATTAATAATGAGCACTTGTTTTGATTACATCAATTTTAAAAATTAAAAGCATATACTGTAATTTCTTGTTCAGTTGTAATTTTGTACTCGATACAAATATCACGTAAAAACTTTATGTACCTACAATCCTACGCTGTAGCGTCAACCCAAAAAAGGGGTGAAAGGCGAGGTCAGCGTCCCTGGGGTCACCCCCTACCAACGCCCATCAATGACCAACAATGAAAACTTGTTTAGAATATTAACAGTAGGTATCTATGGTAGACAGAATATTTTTTTATACTAGCATGTTACGCGGAGGAACGAGGATCATGTCTTATGGAAAGTGTATAATATGAACGTGGATGGATGGAAAGGGAGAGGACGCCCTAAAAAAAATGAATGGATTGTGTGAAAGATGATATCAATAAAAGAAGAGTATGCTCAGATATGACATCCGATAGAGATCAGTGGAAGAGAATGACATACTGCGCCGACCCCAAATATTGGAATAAAGGCAAGCCATTGACGATGAATGAAGTAAACAAGCTTACTATCTGATATGGCTATCAAATACCTGATGGTAAGTGGTACCGATAATTAATAGCCCTATTGCTAGTAATGTACGAGTACCATGTTTTTTCTTATGGATTGTGCATTGTGCATTCGCCTGCGCTAACAGTTTACGATGGCGGGCCACCAGTGGAGGGTGATAAGATGAACATGAGGTCAAGTCAGTTAGCACATCGTGACAAATCACCAGGAATTTATCTAGATGGTTTCCACAGGGAACCGCGTGTCGGTCCTGACATGGATGGTACGTTGATAGCAAAGGGGTCATCAGTTCACATTAATAACAATCCACTTACCGCCCTGTATACTATAACTTCATTGTTATAGCTCACTCATCCTTCTGAATCTGAACTTAAACTCACATTACAAAAGAAGCTGCTTAGCGGCCGTAATGGGTGAGACAGTGGTACTCACGCAGACGACTTTGTTCAAAGTCACCTATTTGAAAATGTAGATTTACCCTACGTTCTTTTTCAGAGTTCAGTGTATATGTTGTAACATATACACTTAGCTTGTCTGTCCTTAAATACTTAACTCATATAGTCCTGTAGGACAAACGCGGTTTTAGGACAAGCTAGTTTCTCCTATCGGCCATACAATTATTTGAAAATGGAGATTTAGCCTCCGTTCTTTTTAAGGACAGACAAGGTAAGTGTATATGTTGTAACATATACACTTAGCTTGTCTGTCCTTAAGTACTTATTTACCTTGTCCTAAAGTCGATTTTAGGACAAGCTAGTTTCTCCTATCGGCCCTAGGATAAACTGATTTAGCCTAGGAAAAGCTAGTCTGTCATAAAATCGGGTTTGGCCGGTACCATTTAACTAGCTTTCGCTCGCGACTTGGCTCGCGTTAATTTATCCTCTTATGGGTGGAATTTATCAAAATCCTTTCTTAGGGGATGCCTACGTTATATTAGCTTTATGCATGCAAA